CCAGGCCCTGATGGATTCGCAGCAGAATTTTGTAAGAAATTCAGACAAGATTTAATATCTACACTCCTCAAACTCTTCAATGAAAATTGAAGGGAAGCAGTTGTCCCTAACTCATTTCTGGCAGCAAGTGTTATACTTACACCAAAACCAGAGAAAGACCCAACCAAGAAAGAGAACTACAGAGCAAAATACTAGCAAATGAAGTGCAGCAAATCATCAAGAAAATCATACACCACGACCAAGTTGGATTCATTCCAGGAATGCAGGGATGGTTCAATATTCACAAATCAATAAATGCTATACACCATGTCAATAGAGCCAAAACAAAAACCACATGATCATCTCAGTAGATGCAAAAAAAAGCTTTTGACAAAGTCCAACATGCATTCATGATAAAAACTCTACAGAAAATAGGAATAAATGGCCTTTACCTGAACCTGGTCAAAGCCATCTATGACAAACCAACAGCCAACATCATATTAAATGGACAAAAACTGAAAGCTTTTATCTTAAAATCAGGAACAAGACAAGGATGTCCACTGTCACCACTCCTCTTCAACATATTTCTGGAAGCATTAGCCAGAGCAGTTAGACAAGAGAGAGAAATAAAAGGAATAAGGATAGAAAAGGAAGAAGTAAAATTACCACTATTTTCAGATGACATGATACTGTACATAGAAGACCCCAAAAATTCCACGAGAAGACTCCTTGAGCTAATCAACAAATTCAGCAGTGTAGCTGGATGCAAAATCAACGCCCAAAAATCAATAGCATTCCTATACACAAACAACAAATAGTTTGAGAGAGAAATTAAGGAAACTATATGTTTCACAATAGCATCCAAGAAACTGAAATATTTAGGAATCAATCTAACAAAAGTAAAAGATCTATTCAATGAAAACTACAGTACTCTGAAGAAAGAGTTTGAAGAGGATTTCAGTAAATGGAAAGATATTCCTTGCTCATGGGTAGGAAGAAACAACATTGTGAAAATGGCCATAGTACCAAAACTGTTGTACAGATTCAATGCAATTCCCATTAAGCTACCATTAGCATACTCCACAGATCTGGAGAAAACATTCCTTAAATTCATCTGGAACCAGAAGAGACCCAGAATAGGAAAAGCAATCCTGGGTAACAAAGACAAGTTAGGTGGAATCACAATCCCTGACCTGAAATTATACTATAAAGCTACTGTAATAAAATCAATGTCGTACTGGCTAAAAAACAGACCTGAGGATCAAGGGAACAGACTGGAAGACATAGCCACAACCACAAACACATTCAGCCACCTAATCTTTGACAAAGGGGCCTAACAAACTTACTGGAAGAATGACAGCCTCTTTAATAAATGGTGCTGGAAGTTGACTTGCCACCTGCCAAAGACTGAAAATAGACCCAAGTCTATCACCATGCACCAAACTCAAGTCAAAATGGATCACAGATCTCAATGTTAAAACAGAAACACTAAATCTATTGGAAGAAAAAGTAGATAAAAACCTTGAAGCTATAGGAGTAGGCAAAGAGTTCATGGGAAAAACCAAACTGCACAGGAAGTACTTCAAAGAATCAACAACTCGGATCTCATCCTACTGAAAAGTTTCTACACATCTAAAGAAATCATCAGCAGAGTAAAATGAAAATGCACAAATTGGGAAAAACTTTTAGCTGACTGTCTTTGGACAGTGGTCTTCTATCTAGAACATGTAAAAGTTAAAAAACATCACCCCCCCCAAATTCAAAGACCCAATCCAAAAATGGGCAG